GTCCTTACCGAAATCAGAATCGTAGAAGAGGATGAACTTCTGCCAGCTGTACTCAGACACCACTTGCATGATGACCTCATTGAGATAGACAGGTGGGCGGACCATTAGGGTGTAGTCATCTGTTCCAGGGATGCGACTGGTGGGCGGGCAGGCCGAGCGGGGTGTTCCCGCCGGGGAGCGCTGGATGAAGAGGTGGGGGATGTGCATGGCGTCGGCCAGAGTTTGAAGGCTGCCGGCCGACATGCAGCCAATTGAACTGACCAGGGCCAGGATGCCACGGTTCATCAGCTCGCAGGCTTAGATAGGAAAGGAAAGGAGGCAGGAGACAAAGAGGGAAGGAGGAAACAAGAGGAGGAAGTGTGTTATTTTTTTTTTACCAGTTGTGAAAATATCTGCGGGCGATATCAAGTCGCATTTTTGATCCGAGCAATTATTTGTGGTAAGAGTGCACCAAGGCAAATAATTCTTATTCTACAGGTCACCACACTGCAGCACCGACTAAAAGAGGCAGGGAAATTTTTAGCAGGCTGTTTCTGCTTGTTTCCACACGCAGCGCATAGTTATTTTGAAGAGCGGCGCCGTTAGTCACACACAACCTGTTCTGTGTTAACAACGGCAAACGGAGAGGAAGGAGGTATACATAAACAGATGTATGGCAGGAGAGTGGGAACATATTGTCTTCTACATGTAAAATCCCACTATGACGAATAAAGAGATCTTTTTTTTTATGCACTCCCTCATCAATAAATCCAGGCAGACCCCCTCCATGAGCCCCAAGGCACCGTCCACTCCACACAGAGTACCGTGAGTCATTCTATCAATGAATGGAGACGCAGAGAAGGGTTAATGCGTCACCTTCCTATTAAAGTCAAGAATCGATAACATAACACGCTAACGCTTGGTGCAGAACATCACCATCCAACTTGTAACCCCCATTTCCAATCTTTTATATTGACTAAAGCAACCACCTTCTGAAACGGAAGCAAAGTCACACATATTCAAAGTTGCATTAACAAAAGTTGTAAAACATCCCCACCTTGGCAGACATTATCAACAACACTCCAGTTGTTTGTGCTGTGCTGTCTGAACGCTCCTCAGCTTTGAGAGTTTGCTTGTTTCCCTTCCGTTTCCTCCCTCCCAGGCCTGTAGTGCTATCAAAAACACCTCTACCTCCTACCCTCTCATCCCACTCCCCTGTTATCTCCCTTCTTGTCCAAAACAGCCCCTCTGAGTGCTTACCTTTCAGTCCCAATCATTTCAGAGCCAAAATCTGGCAGTGATTTTCATTTGCCTTACAGCAACCACGGCGCGCTGCACTGTCCTCACTCCGGAGTCATCAGCCTTCCTCTTCCACCTCCTTTCTAACATCCCTCCTTCAGCATCTTTCCCATTCCACCTACCAATCTCTTTCACCATCTTTATTCACCGACCATTTTCTCCCTCGTCTCTTGTTTACGCTCATGGCAACACAAACATCCACCTCTTTCCTTCTTTCACTCCAGCTAGCTTTTGATTCATCACCTCTTTCCAACTTTTCTTTTTTTTTTTTTCCTCTCTCTTTTTTGCCTCGCACAGCCTTTATCCACACGGCCACCCACATTTTGCCCTTATGTCCTTGCCCCCTTTTTCCACCCTTCATCCATCCTGATCCTTATTTCATCCCTCATTTCTGCTCCCGCGTTGCTCCTCGCTGCGTCCTTCACTGTTAAAAGTGTTTATTTCACTTACAGCTGACTAAAATCCTGTCACGGAGTCACTGAGCAACACAAAAAAGTGGTAAAAAAAAAAAATCTTTGAAGACACTATGGAAAACACACAAATACACACACAAACTACACAATGGCAATGTATAATGGCAAGAAAGCACAATCTAAAACACACATAGTCAGCCTGTATAATGCCACAGGGACTAATCTGTTGACACTGCAGAAATAAAGCCAAAGAAAGAAAGAGAAAAGAAAAAGTCTCCCAGACAGAAAAGGCTCGGGGAGACAGATCCATGGTGCTGAGGTAAGCAGGAAAACACATTGTATGTGTGCATGCGTGTGAGAGAAACAACATGGGAGCTATACAATATGACAATGAGTCCCGTGAAGGCTGGTTCGCACGGAAACAACCAAATGAGTTAAGGTTTTGTGAGGATCAATTCTCAAATTGCGACAAATCCACGTGTGTGTTTGTGTATCACCGATGCACAGAACAGTGTCTGCTGGTGTCTTTAGTGGCTTAATTCAAATTGTTTAATTAAGTCAAGTTAGTTCAGGCATTACTGGATACATTAAGAACAGCATGTCATCTAAAACTAAATCCATGTGACACTTTATTTGTCTTAACCAGTCTGCATTTGTCAGCAAAAAAAAAAAAAGCCTAATCACAAGATTGAAGACGCAGTGGGGATGGTTGACTCAAAAACAGCTTAAAAGGTAAATTAGTGAGTTGTCACTCAGGCGTTTCAGTGACATTGATCTAATTTAAAAGCAATAGCTTTAAATATATAAACGTAAATCCATTCTGTAATTAATTGGCAAAACATTGTTAGGAATGATTTTCCTTTTTAGCAATAGCTGAAGGGTAATTTCAGACAACCTCTTTCCTATGCATTGATGTCGATGATTAATGAGTAGAAACTCAAGCAGTTTCAATCTCACTGCCCATTGTACAAGTCCACATTCTGAGGAATTAATTAAAGTGTAACAATATATGATTAAACTTCACTAAGTCTCTGCGTACTGCTTAGTCACTGTCATTACTCCAAAAATCAATGAGCCTGGGATTCATCATCTTCTATCTCGCAGGAACTTAATGTCTGAGCATATGTACGCCTGTGGCTGTGTGGGGGAAGGTGCAGCCGTGCGTTTGTTTACGTGTACATTAAGTGTTAAATCATCTTATGTGCATGTGTGTCTGCCCTTTCTCTGAACATCTGAGCCAGCCACATTTCGCCAGCGACATTATCCGGACTCCACATCCGTATTATGGCGGTCATGCTAAGTAACGCTTTAGCTGCACTGCTCTAGTCTAACTATAGCGCATTAGCTTAGCATCATCAAGGCTTTGGCTAATGGAAGGCTTTGCTAATCCGCTACTTATTAGGGCACTTTGGAGAATTAGTGCCCTCATCCCCTCTACATCACACACTCTTAAGTCTGTGGGGGGTTTCTAAGCACCAAGCTCATTAATATTCTTTGCTAATGACTTAAAGGGCCCGTTGCGTTAACCCAGCCCAACTTTACATCACTCTGATGTAGGCAACAGTTAAAAGAGAGTAAAAAACGGAAAGTTAAAGCTGCTGGTGCGGCAACATACAGCGGCTTTGAAGAGTTTGACAGCATGCAACAGAAATACACTCCACTTACGCTACGAACGGTTGCAAAGTATATGATTTAGACTAAGTGTGAGTTGAACGTGAAGCTGTACAGATGGACATTGTTCACAGAATAACCGCTGTGCACAATGACTGCACTTTGGGCACAAAAGCAGGTTTGGATTTCCGAGGTAGAGAGAGAGGTGTGTAGGAGTGCAAACAAATACAAAGTGTAGCCATTTGGAATCTTTCACCGATCATCACGAACCATAACCACCCACTAAACCACACTCACACACCGCCGCCGCCGCCATCATCATCATCATCATCATCGCCGACCCACACGGGAGCGCACACATACATACACCCCTCCCCTGCGTGGGCACCACGCTGACGCATGATAAATCATTCCAGAATCAATCTCGCTAAAGCAGCTAAGACCCGTCAAGCAGTCATGCAGAGGTGTTTATTTGAGGGATGTAAATGTCAGTCAGTGGAACAGACGTGTACACATCCAGGAGTTCAGACCGGCGGCCGCGGGGATTACTACGGGACTCATCTACTTTGTTAATGTATCTGGCTCTGTTGTCGTTTATTTATTTGGCTGGCGCGCCGTCACAGATGCGCGGCAATCCATCTTTTCATCAAAGTTTGCGAGTCGTCTGTTTTTCTAAATGAAATGCTCGATTCATCCTGCGATACCTGAACGGCGAACCGGGGACTCGACAACTTGTAAAATGAGAGAAAAAAAATTGAATCTCGTGGGTTTTCATGTGATCTAGATACATTGAGACGCTACCTGCAGACATTTTGATGCGTGTTTTGCATGTCGGTGTGCGTCGTACACGTGTTGTTTGCAACAGAGCACGGTCCTCAGCTCTCTCTCTCTCCCACTTGTTGGTCTGTCAGAATAAATGGACTGCAAGCACTTCACCTGCAACCAGGTGTGACCGATTCTTCTCTCTATCTATGTCTCTCCGAGCAGCTCTCCTCCCACCACAAACTGACACACACCACACACTCTTTATCACACCGAGACACAGTCCTCCAGTTTCCCTGGCCCAGTGACTGAGGATGGAAACAAGAGGAAGGAGAGGGGGCTCGGAAGTGAAAAAATCAATATCCGAAGAAAACCAATAAAAAGACTATCTGTATGTCTGCAGCCTTGGGACATTTTTTTTTTTTTTTTGAGGAAGTTAGACAACATTGAACACAGTTTCAATATGAGAAACATATATAAATCATTCATAATGCCCTTTTAATTTACCTGTCTCATTCTATATCCAGTTGGTATCACTGAGTGAACCAGATACCCAAAAATATAACACATTACACAGAAACATTTTATTAATAGTGGTATAGCTGCAAAGTAACAGCAGCTCCCTGCATCATATCTCCTGTGAGGAAATATTTTTATGCTAAATAAGAGGAAATAAGCAAAATCAGAATGCAGAGTACTTATTATGCCTTTGAGGGTGAACTATCTGGAACACACACACAGATGTGGTCAATTTATTTGTAGCACAGTTTTGTTTAACTTTAAATTAGATATTAGAGAGAAAGCAGGTGACTTGAAATGGAATCTATCGCGATCTGCGACTAACCCGCATAGCAGTAATTTAGGTGAAATGTGGGTAATAGAGACGAAACTGTCACCATCCATCCATCCATCAATCATCTACTAGTATACCCGCTTTATCCTGTAAGGGGTCACGGAGGGCTGCTGCCTAGCTCAGCTGACTTTGGCTGAGAAGGGAGGTGCACCCTTGACAAGTCCATCACAGGGCTGGCTATGACCACAGTATATGCAGTTTTA